AAAAATTTATGCCTGAGGTTTAACTAGGTACCTATTTCTACTAACCATCCTCTCAGTACAACTGTTAGCCTGGTTCCAGTCTGTCGATTTTTTGTCTGTTAATGTTTCTGTTTGGCAAATCGGCAAATTGATACTATCAAAACGACGAACGAATACGGAATATTTTAGCGCATATGTTATGAATAAAAAAAAATGTTATAAATAAGCAAAAACTATCAACGCCTGAATCCCAGGCTATACAACTGTGTATATCCAATAACGCAGGCATGCGAAAATAATGCACGAATCCAATAAAAGTAACGCTGTGCAAAGCTATGGATATAAACGAGTAACATGGTAAGTAAACGTACCAATATATTAATGTAAATCAAATAAATAGAAATGAATAAGAACATATGGTTTCTTATGACATTATGCCTGAACCAGCATTACAAATATTTCCTGGAATATGTTTATTCGTTAGAGATCATTCGTTAGAATGACGAATTGATTACCGTTTTGGAGGCGGTATTTGTGTTTCGTCGGTATAAATAAGTACAATAACGCATTCAAAACTTTATTGTTTTGATATTCGGTATCTCATTGGCATTTACCGAACTACTTGTGTACAGGAACAATACAAAATGTTATTCAGGGGCTTTTTATGAGGAAACCATCCGTAAATGCGATCGACCTTGAGACTATTTTTGCCCTTGTAGTAAGGGGGGAAATCTTGAAAGTCCCAATATAACCTTTACATCACTGTTAAAATAATGAAACAAAGCATTATGGAGATTTATACGGAAGCGTCCTGATGCCAATTTAACATTTTCTATAAAACAAGATAACTCCTACGTAGGACTTTGCAACTCCTACGTAGGACTTTATAACTCCTACGTAGGAGATAAAAAAAAGCCTAATAAGGAGTTTATAACTCCTACGTAGGAGTTTGTAAGTCCTACGTAGGACTTTATTAGTCCTACGTAGGACTTTATAACTCCTACGTAGGAGATATAAAAAACCAAATTAGGAGTTTTAAAGCCCTACGTAGGACTAACAAACTCCTACGTAGGACTTAATAACTCCTATGTAGGACCTAAAAAAGCCTAATTAGGACTTTATAACTACTACGTAGGACTTTATAACTCCTACGTAGGAGATAAAAAAAAACCTAATTAGTAGTTTTAAAGTCCTACGTTGGAGTTTAAAAATGTCCTACGTAGGAGTTTATAACTCCTACGTAGGACTTTATAAGTGTTCCTCTACTTAGGAGTTTTAAAGTCCTTATTCGGCTTTTTTATCTCCTACGTAGGAGTTATAACGTCCTACGTATGACTTATAAAGTCCTACGTAGGAGTTATAAAGTCCTACATAGGAGTTATAAACTCCTAATTAGGTTTTTTTTAACTCCTACGTAGGAGTAATAAAGTCCTACGCAGGAGTTTGTAAGTCCTACGTAGGACTGTTAAACTCCTAATTAGGTTTTTATATCTCCTACGTAGGAGTTATAAATTTCTCATTAGGCTTTTTTATCTCCTATGTAGGAGTTTAAAGTCCTACGTAGGAGTTATCTTTTTTATAGAACATGTTAAATTGGCACCAGGACGCTTCCGTAGATTTATGTTGACGAGCAATAAAAAAAATGATTGAAATCGCAAAAAATAAACATTAATTTTGAAAATATGTTTAATATTATAATAATATACCATAGTTAGTAAATAATAACAGTATCTTTTCAATAGTATCTCTTATATAAGGAAATACATCGTTATGATATTCTGTTGTGATAATCATACAGGAATTAATATTATATAAGCTCAATAATACAGTCTGTTGTTCACCACTCCGAAATAAAACCAGAAAACTTTACTTTTAAAATTTGCATTTCTTCCGTTTAAATGTAATTTTATATATAGTAAAGTGGTTTAAATATTGTTAAAGGCATCTCAAAATTTGTATAACATTGCCAATATAACTATATTTTGTAACAATGTTAATTTGTGTGTAACATGCTTATTAAACAATGCAATATATTTAAGATAAAACAAAAAGTAATCATTATAACGGGAAAACGCATTGTGGAAACTTCACTTCCTATTTCGTAAACACTTATAAAATCTAAACTAGGAAGAGAAAACTCTAAACACGTTTCTTTATTACGCTATCGGACATTTCTAGTCAAATAGTTTACATCAAAATAAAACTTGACGACAATCAGCAGTGATCTTATCAAATAAATGGACATGTATATTTAAAGTGGCACAACATACATGTACGTATTTGAATACATGCACATGCTATTTTAGTTTATGGTGCTCATCCTCGTGCTTGCAGATGACAACTGGCACTTGCGAATGATGCATGATGTAATCTCTAACGCTGCCTGATCGTGCCCATACCGCGGCTTCTCACGATTATCAGGGGTACACTTGTTGTTCCGCAGCTTTTATTGTTGCCTCCCCAGGTTTTTCCGGTCTATATAAACGCTCCAATTTATGTGGTACCTAAAAGTAAAACAGACCCATATAATACAAGTATATCACACTGTGTGTTCAATTCAAGAAAATATTTTCTACTAAAGGTTTCAAAATAACACTCAATACATGTACACATGGGTGCAAGTTAAAAATATCTGAACATATAAAACTCCTGAATTTACACAATTTATCATTATTTCAGTTGGTTTTATGTAGAAAAATATTGCTTTCAGGAGCAGAAAAAAGCTGAACTTCAGGCAAATGCCTGAAAAAATAGTACCAATGCATACATAATGGATACTTAATAAAAATACAGTCAAATATCGATATAGTAAACTCACGTTATGTTTGTTTGTACTTTCTTCACTTGCTCTTCGTGCTATTGAAACATTGCATGTTAAGTTGCTGGACTTCCCATTAATGCCGCCGCTGTAAACAAATAAATCTTCATTCTAGATTAATTCACTGTTTGATAAATGTTTTAATATACAAAATTTACTTTAGTTCGATTGTGTAGGAAGCTATGAGCTTATAGACACACTTTCGAATCCGTTCCAGCGTAAAGTTTCTTGCTCAAGGAAACAACGACTTGCCCCTGACAGGGTTTGAACCCATGCCGCTAGCGATCATTAGATTACTAGTCAGACGCGTTAACCACTCGCCATGCCGCCACAATTTGATAATTAGTGTACAGTACAGTGGCCAATGAAATCGCATGTAATAGTTACCGTACGAGGAATAGGTCTGCATAGTATTTACAGACCCGGGTGGCGATTTGAAGACCGAGAGAGCGTAGCGATCGAGGTTTTTAAAAGGCCACCGGGTCTGTAAATACTATGCAGACCTATTCCGAGTGCGGTAACTATCTTACCTACATGCTCTTTTGTTTTTCTATCCAAACATCAGTTTTTAACTCAGTATTTATTAATATTACGTACAAGAAACATATAACTTATGTACTTTATCATGTTTAAGAAAGCATTCCAAAGCCAAGCAAAGATACCATTCGCTACGCTCTTGTAATTCATTCGTTTACAAATCAGGTGTTATTTGAATATTCTCGTGATTTTCGTGGGGTTTCATTAGGTATGCACTTGTTCAGTTGAGTCACAGAAAATAAAAACAGAACTTGTCGAGTAGGGAAAGGTAAGATCATTATTTTGATATATGAATACATAATATATTAATAATATAAACAAATACTGAGGAAGATAAAAACATTTTCTAATCATAAAAACGGAACACTTTAGCTTTATATATAATAAATTTCATGGTAAATAGATGATCAGGCTATTTCTTATACATGTATAATTAAAATATAAGATTTTTTCAAAGGAAAGTGAAAATCGGGGTTCTATGAATAAATATTAGTAATACATGTAGTTACACCGTTTTGTAAGTTGGGTTTTGTTGTTGTTGTTTTTTTATGATGGTTGATTTTAAAGGTTTTTAGAATTTCATCCATGTTTGGAAGAATTTTCTTTCCGTGTATTCTTAATTAGCATCATCCGTTATAAGACCGCATGTAAGCACGCGGTCTAGAATGGAAGTGCAAGGCTTATTCTTGATACTGGTATATAAAATCCAAATTGTTATTTAAAAAAATAACTGGGAAAAATATTAGAAAAACGGTCTTATACTAAAGATGAACTATACTCTCACTGAAAGTAATAATTTGGAAAAGAAAGATGCAGAAGTTGACTTTGATTCGATATGCACCAAAACTATAATCGTCGTATATATCCTATAATGCAGAATTGTTAAAATAATGCAGGATTGTACAAATTCAGACATAGTTGTGCAAATAAATGACGAAAACTAGTATCTTCTGTTAGGTTAACCGAAAAGCAAACTTTAAAGAAAGGCTTAATGTGCGTTGTTAGACTCATTAATATTGGCGAACTACAAAACTTCAATGCCAGAACAGTAGCCAGTACGTTTTTTCTCACAATTAATCTGGAATATAAGTTATGAGGGACATTACAGCCGAATGCGCTAATTTATTTCGATTAATCTTTAAAATATATATCGACCCTTTTCTTTTTCCTATTCAAAGTGGTCATTACCCCCCCCCCCCCTTCCCCCACAATTCAGCGTTATTTTACGGTGAATATTGTGTACTGTAATGCACGAGTTTCTCGACTTCACATATTTTCTATTGTATAGAGAACAATAGAACAATAACCGGTCGGTATCTTTTTGCAGACCTGTTAACCGGTCGGTAAGTGATTTTCTAGACCGCTTTTAACAAAGGAGCCGGTAGGTAATTACTTTTACCAACCTGTCGTCAATCATTAACAATACCAGGGGTTTAATAGGTTTTCTTTCATAACACAATAGTATTTTGAAAAATCAGAAGAATTTACCAGTAAGATACGGAATGCCGTTAGGGCCATTGCCTATGAATGTGTTGATCTGAAACGCGATAGTCGATAGTACGATGATGAAAACGCGAAATCACGAAACTACGATGGTGAAAATGCGGAAGCACGATGATGAAAACGCGAAAGTACGATGATGAAAACGCGACAGTACGATACTACGATGATGAAAGCGCGATAAACTATCGTGTTTTCACCATCGTACTGTCGCGTTTTCACCATCGTAGTTTCGTGATTTCGCGTTTTCATCATCGTACTGTCGTGTTTTCATCATCGTACTATCGCGTTTTCACCATTGTACTATCGCGTTTTCACCATCGTACTATCGCGTTTTCATCATCGTACTGTCGTGTTTTCATCATCGTACTATCGCGTTTTCACCATCGTACTGTCGTGATTTCATCATCGTACTATATCGTTTTCATCATCGTACTTTCGCGTTTTCACCATCGTAGTTTCGTGATTTCGTGTTTTCACCATCGTACTTTCGACTATCGCGTTTCAGATTAACCCATTCATAGGCGATGGCCCTTACGGCATTCCGGAATGCCGTTAGGGCCATCGCCTATGAATGGTTTGGTCTGAAACTCGATACTCGACAGTACGATGATGAAAACGCGAAATCACGAAACTACGATGGTGAAAACGCGAAAGTACGATGGTGAAAACACGATAGTTTATCGCGTTTTCATCATCGTAGTATCGTACTGTCGCGATTTCATCATCGTACTATCGCGTTTTCATCATCGTGCTTTCGCGTTTTCACCATCGTAGTTTCGTGATTTCGCGTTTTCACCATCGTACTATCGACTATCGCGTTTTAGATCTTCACATTTATAGGCGATGGCCCTAACGGCATTCCGTAGTAAGAAGAGTTGATACTAACAATGAGGAGTGATCGGCACTCAATTATTTTGAAAGATTAAAATTTGCCGCAGATGACAAAGTGAAATAAAATGGACAATGCTATTTATACACATCAATGAACAAATGATTTAACAATATTTTTTCCTGTATATTCACTATAAAATCTTTTTTCCTGCAAAATCTATTGAAAGAAGTTTCTAAGTGTTAAGTACTTACACTTGCCATTCAGAATTTAAAAAATGTAAAAGCAGACGATCTTTGATATAGAAACTTTTATATGTATCAAATGACCTTGAAAGATAGAAATGTGAAGTTATACATCATGAACTTATACAAAAACACAGATTCAATGATGCTTAAAGATAAAATAGGTTGATGTTTTTTTTTCATCTTAAAAAATCTTTAAAGCTACATAGTGTATCTAATTAAGCGATAGAGAGATATGCATTGAGATTTTTTAAACGGTAAATAATTATAGCACCCTATCTTTTGAAAAAAAAGAAATGACAATCATGCATGGCGAATCCGTGCTAGGAATGTTAAACGAATTTGTTTTGCTTTTGTCATTCATAAAATGTGTTCTACAGTCACGATCATGCAAAATAAAAGAACGCGCAAAAGCATGGAAATTAAAAGTTTACAATAAATTGAGAGAACCTTTGTTTATTTATTCTAACTTGGTAATTTGACTTCTATTTCTGCACTGTGAGCAAGTATAACGTTGTCGCTGTCTTTGTTATAGATGTGTTCAACAAACCCTGAAAGACGAAAATTGAGAAATCAAGGGCAACACCTCCATTGATAAAACACATCACTCATCATATTGTAATGAAATACTTTCTTAAAATCCAAAACATATAAGAAGGCAACTAGCAAACAATAGATGATATAACTTACTTGTTCTTGTAAACACTCGTGGGCTTCCACTAGGGATTTAGATATCAATGCCCAACTTTTACCCAAATATTAAACTTCAGGAAGACTTAGATTTATGTTAAAACAACGCTATATGAAAGTTAAAGGATATATCTTCCTGTTAGATAATTATCACAATCTTACAGTGTCCCGTTAGGGCCATCGCGACACACTCATAACTCGAGAAAATACTAACGAAACCACGATCATGGTGAAAACTCGATATACTTTCGTGATTTCACCATCGTACTTTTGATCTTTCATTATGGTGATTTCGTTAATTCGGCATTTCACCATCGTGATTTCGTTAATTCGACTTTTCACCATCGTTCTTTCGTGTTTCCCTTGTTTTGAGTTATGTGTGTGTCACGATGCCCCTAAATGGACACCATACAATCTACATAGTAATATACAAAATCCATTCCCTTTTTATAGAAGTCAATCATTCAATTTTCCCCTTAAAGCAGGACCCCTTCAGACTTACGATAATTTTCATGAAAAAAAATGAAACGGTATTTAAAAGTAAAATATTGTGAAGTGAACAAAGAAAATAATTTACACATTGCAAAAGGCACTTACAATTACTAAATGTAAACTAAACTACCAAAGGAAATCTGCAAAATCGGCTGTTTAATTAATCGCACATAATATGTAAATTATTACTTTAGCTTGAATCTTTTTTGTTTTGTTAAAGCTTTCCCAAGTTTGATTTTCTTGAAATATTTTGGCTTTTGCATCACATATTTTCTTCCCCTTTTTTGCAAAAATAGATGTACATGTGTGCAGTTGATTAATATTATTAATATGATTTTATTCCCCCAAAACAGCTTAAAATTAAGTTCTATCCAGTACTGTACATAACCCGCTCTTGGGTATTATCGATACATATATGTAGCAGGGACACAATCTGTGATTTTATTTGTCATTAGAGAGTTGTTTCCCCTGGACCAGTGTTTTTCTATTGGTCAGTGGTTATGTAAAGAACTCCCTGTGACTATTTTGTGTTCAGTTGAGCTCAGGGTTTTGATGAAGAGACCTGTACATTGTTCTCATGTTTTTAATTTATGTGATTTATGGATTATTATTATTATTATTATTATTATTATTATTATTATTATTATTATTATGCCCCCATTTTGAAAAAAAGGGGGTATATTGCTTTGCACTTGTCGGTCCGTCGGTCCGTCGGTCCGTAGACCAAATGGTTTCCGAGTGATAACTAAAGAACCCTTAGGCCTAGGAACTTCAAACTTGGTATGGTGATTGGTCATGACCAGTAGATGACCCCTATTGATTTTGGGGTCAAGGGGTCAAAGGTCAAGGTCACATTGACCTTGAAAGCAAAAACGGTTTCCGATCAATAACTAAAGAACCTTAAGGCCTAGGAATTTCAAACTTGGTATGGTGATTGGTCATGACCAGTAGATGACCCCTATTGATTTTGGGGTCAAGGGGTCAAAGGTCAAGGTCACATTGACCTTGAAAGCAAAAACGGTTTCCGATCAATAACTAAAGAACCTTAAGGCCTAGGAACTTCAAACTTGGTATGGTGATTGGTCATGACCAGTAGATGACCCCTATTGATTTTGGGGTCAACGGGTCAAAGGTCAAGGTCACATTGACCTTGAAAGCAAAAACGGTTTCTGATCAATAACTAAAGAACCTTAAGGCCTAGGAACTTCAAACTTGGTATGGTGATTAGTCATGACCAGTTGATGACCCCTATTGATTTTGGGGTCAAGGGGTCAAAGGTCAAGGTCACATTGACCTTAAAAGCAAAAACGGTTTCCGATCAATAACTAAAGAACCTTAAGGCCTAGGAACTTCAAACTTGGTATGGTGATTGGTCATGATCAGTAGATGACCCCTATTGATTTTGGGGTCAAGGGGTCAAAGGTCAAGGTCACATTGACCTTGTAAGCAAAAAACGGTTTCTGATCAATAACTAAAGAACCTTAAGGCCTAGGAACTTCAAACTTGGTATGGTGATTGGTCATGATCAGTAGATGACCCCTATTGATTTTGGGGTCAAGGGGTCAAAGGTCAAGGTCACATTGACCTTGTAGGTAAAAACGGTTTCCGATCAATAACTAAAGAACCTTAAGGCCTAGGAACTTCAAACTTGGTATGGTGATTGGACATGATCAGTAGATGACCCGTATAGATTTTGGGGTCAAGGGGTCAAAGGTCAAGGTCACATTGACCTTTTAATTAAAAACGGTTTCTGATCAATAACAAAAGAACCCTTAGGCCTAGGAACTTCAAACTTGGTATGGTGATTGGTCATGATCAGTAGATGACCCGTACAGATTTTGGGGTCAAGGGGTCAAAGGTCAAGGTCACATTGACCTTGTAGGTAAAAACGGTTTCCGATCAATAACTAAAGAACCTTAAGGCTTAGGAACTTCAAACTTGGTATGGTGATTGGTCATGATCAGTAGATGACCCGTACAGATTTTGGGGTCAAGGGGTCAAAGGTCAAGGTCACATTGACCTCTTAGGTAAAAACGGTTTCCGATCAATAACTAAAGAACCCTTAGGCCTAGGGACTTCAAACTTGAGATGGTGATTGGTCATGATCAGTAGATGACCCCTATTGATTTTGGGGTCTAGGGGTCAAAGGTCAAGGTCACATTGACCTCTTAGGTAAAAACGGTTTCCGATCAATAACTAAAGAACCCTTAGGCCTAGGAACTTCAAACTTGGTATGGTGATTGGTGATGACCAGCAGATGACCCCTATTGATTTTGGGGTTAAGGGGTTAAAGGGCAAGGTCACATTGACCTTGTACGTAAAAATGCTTTCCGATCAATAACTTAAGAACCCTTATGCCTAGGAACTTCAAACTTGGTATGGTGATTGGTCATGACCAGCAGATGACCTATTGATTTTGGGGTCAATGGGTCAAAGGTCAAGGTCACATTGACCTTGTAGGTAAAAACGGTTTCCGATCAATTAACTAAAAACGCTTAGGCCTAGGAACTTCAAACTTTGTGTGATGATTGGTCATGACCAGCAGATGACCCCTATTGAGTTTTAGGTGAAGGGGTCAAAGACAAGGTCACATTGACCTTTTAAGTAAAAACGGTTTCTGATCAATAATTCAAGAACGCTTAGGCCTAGGAACTTCAAACTTGGTATGGTGATTTGTCATGACCAGCAGATTACTCCTATTGATTTTGGGATCAAGGGGTCAAAGGTCAAGGTCACAATGACCTTGTAAGTAAAAACGGTTTCTGATCAATAACTAAAGAACGCTTCGGCCTAGAAACTTCAAACTTGGCATGGTGATTGGCCATGACCAGCAGATGACCCCTATTGATTTTGGGGTCAAAGGTCAAGGTCACATTGACCTTGTATGTTAAAACGGTTTCCGATCAATAATAAGAGAACCCTTAGGCCTAAGAACTTCAAACTTGGCATGGTGATTGGTCATGACCAGCAGATGACCCCTATTGATTTTGGGGTCAAGGGGTCAAAGGTCAAGGTCACATTGACCTTGTAGGTAAAAACGGTTTCTGATCAATTTACTAAAAACGCCTAGGCCTAGGAACTTCAAACTTTGTTTGATGATTGGTCGTGACCAGCAGATGACCCCTATTGAGTTTTGGGTCAAGGGGTCAAAGGTCAAGGTCATGACCAGTAGATACTTTATAACCCTTATTAATTGTTTGATCACTGGGTCAGAAGTCATGCATAATAACCTTATCACATGACTAATTGGCTGCTGATAGGGGGCATACATGTTTTACAAACATATCTTGTTATTATAAGCTCGCTCAGGGTGAGCTATTAGTATCGAAGGGGGATGCTCCGGCGTCCATCGTCCGTCGTCATGTGTCAACAATCGTCTTCTTCTCTGAAACTACTAAGCAGATTTACTTCAAATTTAGTCTGTAGCATCAAACTTGAATTTGCTCATGTCATTCCAATTGGCCCATTTTAGGGGTCAGCAGAGCTAAAAATAGAAAAACCTTTAAACATCTTCTTCTACAGAACTAATGGATGGATGATCACCAAACTTTGTCTGTAGCATTCTTGGGTAGTCTTTTATCAAGTTTGCTCAAATTAATTTGATTGGCCCCTTTTAGGGGTCTCTATGGCTAAAAATAGAAAAACCTTTAAACATCTTCTTCTACAGAACTAATGGATGGATGATCACCAAACTTTGTCTGTAGCATTCTTGGGTAGTCTTTTATCAAGTTTGCTCAAATTAATTTGATTGGCCCCTTTTAGGGGCCTTTAAGCTAAAAATAGAAAACCTTTAAACGTCTATTTCTAGAGAACTAATTGATGGATGTTCACCAAACTTTGTCTGTAGCATTCTTGGGTAGTCTTTTATCAAGTTTGCTAATATTATTTTGATTGGCCCCTTTTAGGGGTCTCTAGGACTAAAAATAGAAAAACCTTTAAACATCTTCTTCTACAGAACTAATTGATAGAGGATCACCAAACTTTGTCTGTAGCATTCTTGGATAGTGTTTTATCAAGTATGCTCATATTATTTTGATTGGCCCCTTTTAGGGGTCTCTAGGGCTAAAAATAGAAAAACCTTTAAACATCTTCTCCTACAGAACTAATTGATGGATGATCACCAAACTTTGTGGGTAGCATTCTTGGGTAGTGTTTTATACGGAATGCCGTTAGGGCCATTGCCTATTAATTTGTTGATCTGAAACGCGATAAACGATAGTACGATGGTGAAAACGCGAAATCACGAAACTACGATGGTGAAAACGCGAAAGTACGATGATGAAAACGCGAAAGTACGATGATGAAAACGCGACAGTACGATACTACGATGATGAAAACGCGATAAACTATCGTGTTTTTACGGAATGCCGTTAGGGCCATTGCCTATGAATGGGTTGATCTCAAACGCGATAGTCGATAGTACGATGGTGAAAACGCGAAATCACGAAACTACGATGGTGAAAACGCGAAAGCACGATGATGAAAACGCGAAAGTACGATGATGAAAACGCGACAGTACGATACTACGATGATGAAAACGCGATAAACTATCGTGTTTTCACCATCGTACTGTCGCGTTTTCACCATCGTAGTTTCGTGATTTCGCGTTTTCATCATCGTAGTTTCGTGATTTCGCGT